CGTGCCGGAGTCCTGGGAGGAAAAGCACAAACTTTTCGGGATAGGCTTCAAAGTTTGGAGGACCCGCGATCATCTCTGCAGAAGTCGCACGGTGCCGCCGCAGCTGCGGGCACTGCCAGGCAGAGCTGAGGAGAATTATTTCTTTTTCTCTTTCTTTTTTTTTTTCCCTCTTTCTCTTTTTTTCTCCCCACAACTCGTAGTTGAGGTCTTTATTGAACGGTACGAACGTATCCTTTTATTTCATTATTGGTATTTTTATTTTTTAGATTTGTAAACGGGAAAAACCCACTCTGGGAGAGATGTCGGGGGGATTTTTTTTCCCTTCCTTTGGGCATAGATTTGTATCTAGCGCTGCCAAGCTGGATGTAATAATTGAATCTCTCCCAAATCTTGGTGATAGAGCAGTCAGAAATGACTCCATCTGACAGCAGAGCCATGAGGCAAGTGATGGATACTATTGTCCAAGCCTGACCCTCCATTAACACCACCTATCAGCATCTGTATTCTGTCACCAATTCCCATGCCGGAGCCAAGAGGGGTGACTCTAATATTCTGAGCACATTGAAGGCTTCCATGCTGAGTTCAACCCTGCATCAACTAAATGGGTGGAGAGGATGACCTAAACCTTGCTCTCTCTATCTCCACTCGCCTTATTACCCCTCTCCAGTCCCATTGTTTTGCAGGTGCCTGCAATTTGCTCCTTATCTCCTCTCTGTTTATGAGGGCTCCTTTTTTACTAATACAAAGGAGAAATGTTATTAATATTAATTAACAAAATAAAAAATGAAGCAGTTTGGGGAATCCACCAAATGAATAATCTCATCCCTTAATTGGAGATGAAGTGGGGGGGAAGGAGGTGTAAGAGAAACAGATGACCTATTGGGTGACAGGCACAGGTTGGAAGGGTGACATTTTATTGTAAGCCTCCCTATGAAAGGAAGAAAAGGAAAGGACCAGTCAATTTAATGCAGGGACCAAGAGTGCAAGAGTGTTGCTAAGAGACAGAGATGCTGCTAAAGTTCTGTGAGAAGCTGTACCCTGACCTTATGCAAATGGAGGCTTCCAACTCTTTGTGGAAAGGCTGCAAATTCCACCCACTGTGTCACCAATACCTGGCATCGAGCCTTTTATTCAAATGTTCTCTAAAAACACACACGCAGAGGATGTGACAAAGCATGACACATTTAGGGCTGGAAGGGAGGGGGGCGCGATGGGGGGAGCGGGAGGGGGAAGGACGGATCTCATGGTGGAAATATCACCCACCCGTACCTCCCAGAGCCTGTCATCCTTCCGAGCTGAGAGACGGACCTAAAGATTTCTAAATTGCCTTAATCCAGACCTATTAAGAGTCATAAACAGCACCAATTCCTCGTGCATTTGAGGGGGTGGGAAACAGCAGAGTCATCCCGACCTACTCGATGCTCCTGTCCTCACATCTGCAGTACCTACAGTTGCCCAGTGCTGCCTTCTGCCTTGGGTTGCACTGCATGGTCGTAATGCGGCAGGGTGAAGCAGAGTTTGCCTAGGGCCCGGACCCACAAGAGCCCGTGAAATGCAACATAAAGTGGAGCTGCTCCCAGCTGAGCCCGGACACAACCTTCACCCGAGACTGAAGGTGAAGAGAGGGACTCAAACTTTCTGCTATCAGGATTCCCCCCCCCCCCCGTCCCTTTTAAATAATCTCATTTGCAGACCAGCACTCAGGGAACGGAATCTTATATAAAACCCCAGATCGTGCCAGCTTTCTTCCGAATATTTTAAAGCCTGCAGATGCTGCATGTGGGGCTCCCTGCAGCTCCTAACTCTGGAGCGGAGTCCTGCAGCACAGTAACCCCGCTCATCTCTCCCCAGCACGGTGCAAATGGCAAGGTGGTGTTTTCCCACAAACCTGTGGACCGAAAGGAAGGGCAGTTTGTGCTCAGGGTGTGAAAAGTGCGAACGGAGTAATGCCGGTCAGCCCCTCCCTACAACGAAATGCTCCAAGGGAAAGCAGTTCCTGGTGGTCCAACTTCACACCGGCTGAGTTCAATACCGTTTCCACGCGATCTGGAAATTATCGGTCTGCTTTTATTGCAGTTTATCCTCGGGGCACTTTTGGGACTCTCGTGGGCAATTTTCCTGTCTTCACAGGAGATAGGGTTTCTCTGTCTGCCCTGAGCAGCAACAGAGCAGTGACTCAGCTGCAGTTGGTGCTTTAAGTCGATGCCCGGTTACGCATCTTTTGGTCACGCACTGTTTCCTTCTGCTCCAAACAGTCTCGGAAAACAGACACGAAGGAAGAGATCAAAACAATAAAATGAAAATAAAAATGATAAAAGTAAAAAACAACAACAACAACAACAACAAAAAACCAAAATACAAGCCCTCTGACCCAGTCGGATACACCTATTCCCCGGTCCCTTTGTAGGGTAAAACCACTTTCTGGGCATCTCTTGCCCTCGGAATGCCCCAGCCCATCTGGAGAACGTGACCTTTCGCTTGCAAACGGCCGAACCCTGCGGACAGAGGTGGTCTTGGGAAGGGACCGCCGCTTCCTGAGTGCCACCCGGGCTCTGGGGCCGCTCCCAACGCGGCCCCGTTCTGCCCCGCGCATCCTGCGCACCCCCCGCAGTGTATCCCCACGTCCAGGTGGACGCAGGAAATGAATTTATCCATGCAACTTGCCCGGTAGATTATTATTATTATCTTTTTTTTTTTTTAATAGTAAGACTTCTCATAATGAGCACAATATTATTAATATTTCATACTAGCAGTGTGTGTATGGTGAACTTTGTAATGGGAAATTCAATCGCCGCTGTAAATATTAATGGAATATGAAATGAAGCCACAGCTTCCATGTAGCACTGACAGTAAAACGGAGTGAACATGTGGTGGCCCTGGGGCAAGATAGGCCTTTCCTCTTGTCTCTCTCGCTTTATTACATTAGCCCGAGCCTCTCCTTACAGTCCTGGGCTCAGAAGCTGAAGTTCACAGGTCAGCCATGACAAATGTCCCTACGTCTCGCCAAACAAGACCCCCTGGCCTTGCCATTACATCTGCCCAACGAGCCCCTGGAGGGTGCTTAAGGGGGTCTGGTGCAGGTAAAGAGCTCTTTAACGCAACTTTCCGAACAGATCAGAGGAGCGGAGGCTGCAGGATCTCCTTCAGGGCTGAGCTGCTGGGAGCCCCCGCCCCCCGCTCCGCGCTGCGCTTTCCTTCCGCGCAGAGCTGCGGCAGAGCGCGGATATTCCCCAGCTGCAAAGCGCTGCCAGCAGCGCCTTGGAAAGAGTGTCTTTCGAAGGCGTTTTTTGGCTCATCAGCCAATTATTTCAACACTTGGGACGACATCAGCCCCAGACTGTCAGCCCGTGGGCTCTTCCCCCCCCTCTCTTTTTCTCTATTTCCAGGATTTCTCTTGAATAAACAGCGCTCACAACAGCTTCCTTCCCAGAGTGGGCATCAATCTTCATTCGTTAGGGGGGACCACGTCAGAATTTCCTCCTGCCTTTCCCCTTGGAGGTGTTGGTTGCGCACTGATTTATGCTTCACCCTCCCCAGGTCGGGGCCGCGGGTCTGGCCAGGGCTGTTCGGAGCTCAGGGACGGCGAAACCCGAGTTTTGAGCTGTGCAAACCCGCTGGGGGCTCTGAGCGAGCAGGGTCGGGGCCTGGAGAGGTGGCACAAGGCACCGTGCTGATAATTAAACAAGGTGCATTTAGCTGAGTGGAAAGCGGGAAGGAAACGAATAGGGGGGAATTCCAAAGCGCCTGTGGGGCAACCTTTTATTTCTCAGCAGCGAACTTCTTCCTTTACGTGAGAGAAGGAAAACCCATCGCACACCGATTACCCCACCGCCGTCAGCCCGTGCTGATATTCTGCTTCCAAAATTACTCAGTACAATACCCAGTCTTTTTTTCTTTTTTTTCTTTTTCCCTAGGAAATTCTGATCTCTTATTCTCTATCAAACCGTATAGAAAAGCTGAGCTGCGCGTTCAGCCCGTCCAGCTGTCCGGCGTGAAAATGCTGAACAGGAAGGGATGAGATGAGGAGAGCCCCCCTTCGCTGCCTCCTTCCTTGGGGTGCTCGTCCCCAACTGCACCCCGGGGGGAGCCCGCCCCAGGGAGCCCCGCAGCCACCCCTGCTGTGGGATCGCCAATGCAAAGCGAATAAACCCAAACGCGCATCCCGGCGTCGGTTCGGCCACTTTCATGTAGCCTTATTCTTAATAACTCCTGTATATATATATATTTTTTCCAGCACCGTGGCTCGCGTACTTCGTACAGTCTCTGTGGCTTCATTAAAAGCGTTCAGTTATATCCCCCAGGAAAATGCAAGCGTCACCTCTCTTTGCCTTTTTAAAAGAGTTGCACTTTCAAAGAATATTTTTCCCCTTTTTTAACTAAAAGAAACAGCGCCAGAGTCAGGTTTTGTAAGTGTTAAATAACTTTCCCAGCGTGTATTAAAGGAAGATTGTATTTTATCAACAGCTGATTGATGCGGCCATGTGATCCTCTCGGTTTGTCTATAGTATCATATTTATTTAACCTGCTGGGGGACTGTGTTCAGGGGCCGCTTGCTCCCGCTGGCAAGAGCACACACATTACACACTACCCCAGGTATTCTGATTGATTGTTCCCACCCCACAGCCTTTGGATCATAATTTAACACAGCAGGTCCTACAGCACAGACGGGGTTTTCGGGAAATACGGTGAAGGATTTCTATGAACCAGTACCGCACAACTACCAGGTTTTCTGAACTAAGAATCTGAATCAGGGAGAGAGGTGGAAGAGTGCTTTGCCACCACAATGCGAACACAAACGCCTTTAGCCTCTCCACTGAATGCGAGCCCTTCAATTTTAACAAGTTCTTCCTGCAAATGAGCATTTCCTGGGACTATCAGAGCACCTGAGAACAGCTCCATCAGCCTCGTCAAATGCTTCACAGCGGCGGTCAATTACATTCGAGCATATATAAGATCAGGAGAGTGAGACACCAGTTTTCTTCTCGCTCGCTTCAGGTGAAGCGGTTCAGAAACTCTTATGGCCACCAGCTGCTGTTTGCTCCCGGAGAGGATTTAAAAGCAGAACAACCCCATCCCAAAATAATGACCGTAGGTAAAACCCCCTAGAACAGATTAAATAGGTAAAACGCGCCACAGCAGCGCTCTCTGGGCTGCAGTAAGTTGTGCCAGGTGAGGCGGCTGCTCCCTGTAAACTGTTCCCCCTCGGGCAGGGTGCGGGGCGGTGCGGGTCTGCTGTTGGTAGAACCGTAATTAAGGTGCAATGTCAATTTTTTTTGGTTATTTATTTATCTAATTATTTATTTAAAACAAACTTTTCCAATTGCTTACGGGATTAAAAAAAACCAAGTTATTATTGCTTTTTATCTCTCCCCCCCTCATCCCCCCCCTCCGGCAGGATGCTTTCTGCAGGCAGCCCTCCAGCCACGCTCTACGCCTCGAGGAGGGCTTTCCTCTGCCCTTGGCTGCCCACCGCGCAAGGCGGAGGGCTCGCAGCTTTGCCCTCTGCTCCCCCACGACGCCCGGAGCCTTCGCAAGATACGAGGCCGGGCTGCGGGCTGTCCGTGGGGCAGGGGCTGCGCCCGGCGCCGGGAGGTGCCTGTCCCGAGCTGGTACCCCGGGCACAGCCCAGCACACGGCAGTGTTTACCTATGACTCAGGGCTAGGCGAAGGATGCAAAGACTTCGCAAGGTGAGGGAGATGGCAAAGGAGGTGCCAGCTAATAGATCGGCTGCCGTCCCGTGGGGCAAAGGAGTGTTGACAGATCACGTTAATCAGTAATTTTTTTTTATATTTATTTTTATTTTAACTAGTGGGTTCCAGTGGTGGATAGCCTCGTTCCTCGGACTCGTAACCCGTTCGTGGCCGGGACTCTGTTGCGTATCTCCTCTTCTCTAGGAACCCCCGCGTCGCCCGGGCACGTCCTGGGGCATTTCTCCTTTCCACTCTGTTTTTGCCCGGGACGAATTCTATCGATCGCGGTCAGCCGTGCTGAGACCCACTAATTCTGTTTTTTGTGGTCCAGACTTCCCTTTGAGAGCAGGTGAATGCTACACCACCTGTTCTGTTGACAAAGTAAAGTAAATCCCACTTAAAAACACGATTCCTAGGCTCTGCGAGAATGAAGCATATATGTTTTTAGGGCTTGTTGGTGCCAGGTCATATTGACCGATTCCTGAATAGTTGCCATTGTGCCGCGCTTGCAAAAGGAACCAGAGCAAACATCACCCCAGAAAGGTTTGTGGTTTTCCTACACATGTGGGCTGCAGCCTCGCACCGCGCCCTGCTGCTCGCCCAGCCTCTCCCTCCCCTTCCTAATCTCTCCCTTTTAAATTTGTTGTGAAAGTGGGGGGAGGAAAAGAGGGAAAAAAAAAAAAAACAAACAAAAAAACAAAAAACCCGCTCTCATTTCGAGAAGGGGCAGAGGATCAAAGAGCAATGGGTGTTCGCGCTCCTCTCGGGCAATAACAGGGCGAACGCTCCCCGCCCGTAAGGGGAAACGATCGGGAGTGCCCGTCGTCTCTCTCAGCTCTTTCTCCCGTCGCTCCCGGAACACAGCGGGGGCTGCACTGCCCGCTGTCCCCCGCTATCCGATGGGGTCGGCTCGTTCCCCCCCTTCCCGAGGAACTTTCCTTAGGAAACAACAACGTTTGTTCATTCCAAGCCTCGGCAAACAGCTAAACTAGTTTACACAGTTGGTTTTGACAAACGAATAAATTGTTTTCTTTAAGTACGCCGTCTTAAGTAAGCACACACTTTAACTAGTTTTCCTATGAGACAGCTTTTTACTAGATTGCTTTTTCATTGCGTGGCTATCGAAATGAGATAATGACCAAAGAGGTGGAACCTAATCAGCCTTTTAGTTGAGTTTAAAGAGTCTAGAGGTAGTTTAAAGGTAGCTTTGGTCATGTTTGCTGGCCGGCTGCGATGTTTGCACTACCACGTTATGATGGGGAGAGTAATGTGTTTGATAGATAAGGGAGAGAGGCTAGCCAAAAAGCAAGGTCAACTGTGATAAGGCTTGACACTTTTACTCATTTTTCACACACTTAAAAGGGAACTTTAAAATATGAAGGAAAAAAAAAAAAAAGCGAAGAATCGACATGCTAACATCCATCATAAAAACAGGATGTTATCAGTCCTTACTTCTTATTTAATTAGCCCAAAATCTTATGGTAGTTTGGAACGTGTCGTGGTATTTAAAAAAAAAAAAAAAAAAGCCATTTAATATTTTTCTAATTTGTTAGCAAACAGAGACATCCTCAAAACAGGTGTGGGATAATCACACACCTTATTCTTTCTTCTGAAGCATCTTCCCGATGTTTTATGCTTTTCTAGTAGTGAATAAAACAAGCAGTAGGGTGAAGAGACAAGTCTGTGTGATCAATAGTGATGGGAGCATGGAGGGTTGTAGTAGAGGACAGAAATCCTGGGGGGAGAACAGAAAAAAACCCTCACAGAGGGGTTAAAATCTCTGCACAACAAAACCGCCAGGTACCAGTGAAGAAATATAACGTGAAATGTAACCAAACAATCAATGGCAAAACTCTCATTAAGTTAAATAAGGCCTGCCGTGACTTGAATGGTTTTTTTGAAATACTTGTGTCCAGGAGAACAGATACGTATTATTGATCCTAGATTCTATAAAATGAATTGATTTTTTGCTGTATACACAAGAATTCTAAACCAGAACTTATTATGTTTTTCTTTCAGGAAGCTTTTCTGCCATCTTTGGTTGAAATCTAAGCCAGAAGTTGAAGATCAGTCTCTAGCCAACAACACATCTTCTGAGAACAAATGATTGTTGTCCTCATTCGACAAAGTAATAATGAGGTAATATTTGCACAGCAATCTAAAACCAATTTCCAAAAGCAGCTTGGGTTGAGCATACAAAGGCAGCTACACACCTATGTCCAAAATATGTATTCTCACAGCCATTTTGCTGTGCAACTGCCAGCCAAAATAGACCTGGAGCTTATAGGTGCTGCAGATTTCCTCCCTGAAGCCTGCAAGCCCTAGAATTTGCCTTTTGGCATATCTGGGGCTCTACTTTTGCTCTGAGCCCTTCACCAGCAAGGTCTTTGCCCATGTAGAAGGGGTTGGTTAAGGAGGGATTCTCAGGGCTTTAAGAGAGAAAACAGTCCTGGTGAAGGAAGGGGGGCAACCTGCTGTCTTTTCTCTTTTAGAAGATGTTCTGCCCTTGTTTGGTTGGTTGGAGCTGCCTCAAAGGGGTGATCTTTGCTCGGGGTTCTCCTCTGTCTGTGAGGGCTTCTGCCCCAGCTCTGGTGGGATATGGAAGGGAAAAGTGGACCATATGTTCATGTGTTCCTCCTGAGATGGTTCCACTCTGCAGAAAAATAGGACCAGAGGCAGCGATGAGTATGGCTCTGTGTCTTTGTGTCAGGCACTAGAGGAAGAAATTTAACACCAGGGTGAGTGCTGTAAGTCTGGGATATTCTGTGGAGATGGGCGCTAAAGTCATTGCTATGGCAAACCTCAGCCCCGAGCACCCCCAGGTTCTGGTGTGCTTCCAACTCTGCAGGGAAGGGAACTGAGAAAGGAGTGGCCCCTCTTTCCTACTGCACCCAGAGCGAGCAGATCCCTGAGGATGGATAGGAATTCCCCCCCAGGGGAGCCTAATCCTGGCATACTTGCCTGCAGAGCTCCCTGCAGTGCTGGGTCACAGTCCCTGAGCAAACACAGACTCACAGCCCACGGCTGGTGCCAAGCACTCCTATCCAGGCGGGGCTGATACACTTGCACTAATCCCAGAGTTAGCACACAAGGCACTGCTGAGCCCACATGTGGAATCTACAAGCTTTAGGTGCCTAGAAACTTAAAACCTTGTGCACGACAATCACTTGGGCAATTTTTATAATACCACTCCTAAATATTTGGCTAACTGGACCCACTTGGGGTGTATTGCAGACTTCACTGAGACACCTTATCTCTAAAATAAATTGTGAGATCGAGGCATTAGCTGAGAAGGGGTGGGATCACTTCTCCACATAGAGACCACACAGTGTCTCTTTCCCATGTCACCATTGCTTGGGACTGCTTTTCATACCATGTGTTTCTTTCTGGTGCTAAGTCCCACAGGTAAAACATAAAATCATTAAGGTTGGAGAAGCCACCAAGCTCATCCACTCCAACCACCAAACCATCCCTATCCTGCCCACTGACCGTGTTCCTCAGGGAGCAACTCGGGAGTGCAAGCTTAGGGCATTGTGGAAGCAACAGTGGATGCAGCTGGATTACAATTTCCATGGAAGAAAAAGAAGAAAGAAATGTAGAGCTCCAGTAATGATTTTCTTCCTATGGAGGCCACCTTCTACACTTTTTTTTTGTCTCATTTTAATAATCTATATCAGTGTTGTTTTTTAGCTGATTTTAATGTCAACTAGGGATTAATGTGCATTAATTAAATTGACTGTATTTTCTTTAATGAGCACAAAAGGATTTTATGTTAATACTGATGATCCTAATAAGGATTCTCTCTGCTTATCTGTATTTTCTTAACATCCTGAAATATTTTATTAGGAAACAAATTAATTTAGTTACTATCACGGGGTAAAAACAGAAGCTATCAGGTGACTGCCAACTGGGTCTGGCGTTAGCAAGCTATGCGACAATTAAGCTATAAGAACTGCTTTTAGCTGCAGAACTGTTCACTGCAATGCATTATTTTGAACAGTTTATGCCTTTTTTATTTCTTGTTTGGCATTGGCTGACTCTTACCTGGATTTGAAGCTACTGTTAAACAAGAACACAAGTAATATTAAAGGAGATGCTGTCAGTGAGACCTGGGCTAAGATCCATGCCTGTTCCTTGCTAGAAACCAGAAAGGATGAGGAATAGAAAGGATGAGCTGGGAGCAGATGCTGCAGTGATCCCAATAGGTAGACAGGTAGTTTTGCTTGTCCCTCTTTCAGCTGTGCAGATTGACGATGCAAATTAGTTTCTAAATAGTCAAAAACCTTATAATAACGCTTCTCCACAACAAATGAAAGAAATACATTTATTTGCATGCGTTAATATATGTGTCAATATATATTTATACATTCACAGCTGTCGCGGGCTTGAAAGACACTTGACTTGCTGAGCAAGCATTTAATAAAAAGCCCATGGAAATGTTAATTAATGGTATTTGGTACTAAATGCTCACTTTGATGCTAAAATGTTATACTGCACAGATTTAAAATTCATGCTGCATTTTTTGCCCTTGTTACCATCTGCAAATTTCTACCCCACACCCCATTCTCACATCAGGTTGCTGAAATAATTCAATAGTATTATAGCATATGTCAGTAAGAAACAGTAGGGACAGATTCTCATCTCAGTCCTCTTGTTTGACTTTGTGGCTCTCAGTTGCATGCTTTTTGCCAGGTTTTCTCATTTATCATGGTTTAGATGACTATTCACTCAAAGCACCGTCCGATCTGCACAAACACGTTTGAAGAGAAAACATGTCTCAAAAAAATCCCCCATCCAAAATTCCAGCAGCTGTCAGCTCTTAAATAAATGCAGTTCCGGTGATTTCAGAAGGAATGTTTTGCTGCATGAAGTTACTTAGGCATAGTACAGCTTCCAAGTGGAGATGTGAGAAACCTGATGGCTGCTCTGTGCTGGATTCTGAAGGTTTTGGGGCTTAAAGCCCACTCCAAACATGGTGTGAAGGGGCTGTGAATCCCACTGAAGGTAATTCTTTTTTCCTAAACCCTGTGTGTGTGTGTGTGGGGAAGATTAAGCCAAGACAGTGATAGAATTTTTTGGGCTGAAAAATCGTGAGATCTTTGGAAATGAATGATTTGAAGAAAAAGTGGCTTAGTGTTCAAGGGCTTTGATTTTAAACCACGTTTAAGTAATTGTTGACATGATAACAGAACTACCTGAGCTTTCATTTACATTTATCCTCAGTTGGACCAAGTTTCCCTGCAAAACATTTTATGATCACAATTTAAACTTAGTAAAAATTTGGCTAAAATATTTCCGAAGGGACAAATTCCCACTGAAACAAAAATAAAAAGTTGCTGCTATTTCACTTGTGAAGAGAGAAAAATCTACAAGAAATCCAACTGTTTTATGTGCTTGTGATAGTTATGGGACAGTTTGTGTATGCATTTGTTTAGGTGTTTATTTCTTTGTGCTGGCTCTTTATGTTTAGTTCAAGTTTTGAATTGAATGTTTACGTTGGGTCTTAATAACATTTCTGTTTGTCTCGTGTCTTTCTTGACAACTTAACCTTTTCCAACAGTAACTATAAATTATACAATCATATTACAGTATTAATTAATTAAAGATATTAGTAGATGACCTATAATTAGTATAAAATGATTACATGAATTATTGTTATTTTCGACAATCTGGAGTTGAAATTCCATTTGTAACAACTCATGCCAGTATTCCTGGGTGTGATTGCAGTGCATGTTACAGTGAAATATCCCACTATCATCTCAACAGTGTGTACCTCTGGCATAAAGATTAATTCTGTGCAGTACATCCAGGCAAATAATCTCTGCAAAGCAGGCAGGGGATCAGATCCTGGGCATAGAGTTCCAAGGAACATCAAACAAGAAAAACACAATCAAGTTCTTCCACCATGGAGAAGATCCCCATTAGAACCAGCTGCAGAGCAGGGCCATGGCTCATCTCTCCATGCCTTCACCATTGGAGTGTCCCCAGAGTGGTAAGTGAGCTGTGTAAAATAGAACACTGGACAAAAATGGTCTGTCGTGTGTTGTTGTAGAAAATGTGTTTTGGAAAATTGTATGGCCTGTTAGAATACTGCAAAAAGCTTGAACGTGTTGACATTTATCAAACAGCATTACTTCTTATACATCATTATACCCTATTAAAACCAACAAAAAAAATTATTATTTAAAATAAATGTTCCCTAGAGAAATCCATCAGTTCCTATTTATGTCAACGGTGGACATTTTGATGGGGAATAATTAATAAACATCTATTCAATCTACTACTTACAACATTATAATTTGTCAAATGAAAGAAAGAAACCAGTCTACTTTTTCGATGAAAAAGCATTTTCTTTAGCTCTCATTTCACTTGAAGTGTCTGGCTCTTTTCATGTCATACGAATCTGCTCTTTTAATAGTAAAAATACCTTCCAAGGGAATATTTCTGGAGCAGATTCTCACACAGAGCAAAAGAGCACACATTTGCACTTACTTGGACAGCTGAAGTAGGAAGAGGAACAGTGAGGTGGGATGCAGCTAGGGCAGCATCAATCAAAGGTTAGGGCAGTTCCCAAGGTTCACCTCAGCAATTTCCCACAGCCAGCTGATGGTAATCCAGTTTTAGAACATTTCTCCAGTCCAAGTAAATTCTATTTATTGCTATTGTCCATACAGGTGTCCTCTCTGAAGCTGTTTTTCTACTACCTTCCTTTGCTACGTGTTCTTCCAGGTTCAATGAAGCTCTTAACTCGGCACACTGTGTTGGAAACTTGGCTTCTGTTTCCAGTGGTCGATTCTGAATTTTCCTTTTTGGAAACATGGTGAAACCTTCCTACCAAAAAGGAAGAAGCCTTCTAACTCCAGGCTGTGACTACTTTCCCTCATCCGTGAAGTAGAGATGTATTCACCCCACAATCTGAGGGTAAGATGTTTTGTATTCAAAAGAAGCAGAACTTACTTGCAAATATTTTGCAAGGCTCTGTAGCCCTCTTCAGGGGCACATCAGGCAGAAGTGTCAGGTTGAGAAATCCAGAACTTCTAAGAGAGTAAAACCACAAAGCTCTGATCTGACTATGAATGTTACATTACATTTCATTATTGGTTTGGCACACGTTATAACAGATGAATATAGAGGGCTTCATCTGTATCTTGCAATCTCTGCACTTATATTATCATGAAAGATATTTTATATTTAATTTTTAAGGTTGCTGCCTTGGATAGAAGAAGAAAATAACATTTATTTGAGCAGATATTGCACTAAATATTGGCAAGTGCATAATCGGAGACCGTAGTCAGAAAATACCATCCATAAAGATTTAGGGAACATTGCTCAAAGTGCATAAATTTATCCTGTGTTCACATGCAGGTATAAATACCTGCAATCTTCAGCGGCCAGTTTGGATCATGACCTTATAAAAGCAGCTCCTGTGCAAGAGTCCACTTGACAATTTCCTATGCTCTAACCACCTCCTTTCATTGCAAACTTAATGAGTGCTTTCAAGTGCACAACAAAAATGAGATGAGAGAGTTTGGGGAAACCTCCTTATCAGGGAAAGTTAACACCTTGAATTAAAGGCATCAAGTATTTGAGCCTCTTCTCAGAATATAAAACTAATAGTGTGCATCAAACTACTGAAATACTATAAAATATAGGAGAGCAGTTCCTTAAACACAGATCCTAAAACTGCGAAGAGATGCTTGCTTCTGATCTGCAGGAGTCTCTGCTTCTCTATATTGCATAGCAAGAAACATTCAGCTTAACCTCCACCAATGTTTTAGCAATTTGATATTAAAAAACCACACCTGCTATTTTTCAGGACTTTCACTTTCCCCTGATTTCTTTGTGTTATTAAACTAAAGAGCAATAGGATTTTTCCTCCCCTGGTTTTGTTCATAAATTGATTTATTTTGCAGTGAGTAGTTGCATTGCAGTCTTGTGTAAAACATGCTGAACACTAGAAATGCACTGGCTATCTACCACTTGAAGATTAATCTTTTCTCTGTTTGAGTATCTGAGAAAACAGGGCACTCACAGCTGGAGAAGAGCATTCCAGCCACAGGTTTGTGTTTTTTATAGCATGTGAAAGCTGTTGTCAATTTTTTCTTTTATCATCAATATCATGAGAATAATTTGTTGTAATTCTACTGTACATTTCATCCAAAAACCTCAGAGTGTTTTACAAGCATTAATTATCTCGACCAACTCATGCAACATGTAAATGATGCATAGGGGTAATTTAACAACTAATAAAATGAGCTAACTGTAAGGTAGAGGCTGTAAATTAGTCCTACGGGCTACTTGAGTTAGTTGTGGCCTAAGAGCTGAGAAATGCACTGCTGACCTGGAATAGCAAAGTGGCATTAGCAGGCTGAACACAACTGTGATTTGGCAAAGTCAAAGTATCAAATGATGACACTATTGTGAAATTCACACTGAGTGCAAGACTTCTCCGTCACTGCCATGTGTGCTGCTGTTTTTGTGTTCTCAGTTCATTAAGGATGATGTACATTGATGCAGTTTGGCCAATCTTGAGATTTTACTTGAAAAATTCGAGGAAGAGAGGGGATCTTTCTTAATTATTTTCAGAGAAAATGAAGCAATTCCTTCTATGCTGCATTTTCAAGACTTTTGGTTCTCAGCTTCATCCCAAAGGCCTCAGCAGCAGTACAGGCAGTGCCACTGCTGTGCTGGGATACGGGTCAATTTAACTCAAATTAGAAATGCCACTACTGAGCCATATCTGCTGAGATGTGACAGGTTCACACAAAAAGGCAGTAAGGCTGAATGAGTACGCAGATGCAAATATTTCAATTATACCTTCAGAGTGAGAGAGGTTACTGGGCTCTTGATGTGCTTCTCAGCTCCAAGTGGATAGAACATAAGCTCTCATTTCTAGTGCTTTTAGAAACTTAAGGTAGGAGACAAACTTCATTTCAGCCTTGAAGGAAATGTTGTTGGTTTAAAATTTTACTGAAGCAATGATTTATGGAATATACACATTTCAAAACAATTTTGCAAGAACAGTGTTAGTTTTTCTTCTTTTCCCAGATTCTATTAAAAGGCAACTGGCCATTGCTAGTTCCAGTCAGCTGATCACCTTAAAACAGTGGCAGTCTCTGACGTCAGTCAGCTGTTGCCACAGGAAAGATTAAGTTGTCTTGATTGCACATGCTGTCAGTTAAAGACATCAGAGGAAAAAAAAAAGCCTACAGTTAGAGAATGCCAAGGTGTGCTTACAAGGGCTAGATGCTAAAGTAGGTACAGAAGCAATGAAAACTATTTCTCATCTACTATCAAGTGAGTTCAGCTTCCAAAGTTCATTGCTGAAGGTGAGGCTTAGGGTCAAATAATGTCTCAGTTACAGTAACCTCTGTGCTTATTTTGAGGAGAAGTCCCAGGCCTCTGCCAGCTGAGGATGTGGCCCTGGTATCATGCTCAATTGCCATGTGAGTGTCTTTGTC